GTCTATGTCTGTGTTTCCAGGGGAAACATAGCTGAGTCTTAGACAACCTTAAAACGAGTCCTTGTTCTTTGGGTCCTTGGCTTCTTCCTATGGAAGTCAGGAGTCGAAGCCCGACAGTCTTAGCTGCCAATATTTCAAGTTACAATGTTTAGGATTGAACTGGAACAGCCTCCCAGTCAGAGACAAATTTGCAGTAAAAGCTCTTTCTTGTACTGCAGGGAATGGCATTTCAGGTGTGCAAAAGTTGGCTTGGAGGCCAACTTTTGGCCTAGGGGGCTGACCCCCCCCCTCCACTGGTCTAAAATGGGCAGAGCATTCGTTTTTAAAGGGATGGTCAGAAGAGAGCAACCTGTCTGTCTGTCCTCCCAGAAACCCTGATCAGGGGGCCTAAGTCCCCAACCAACTGCTCCCTTACAGGCTTGGGATGCTAGAGATCCCACTGGTATAATTGAGTAGGGACAGCTGAGAGACACATGAGGCCCATCGTGCATGCCAGAATGTTAGGGGGGCCTCACAAGGCCCCTTTCGGTTCACCTGCAAGCATGCCTGAAGCTCTTCTGCCATATTCCTTTTCCACTACTCCCCTTCCCCTTCTTTTCTTTACTGGGTTTGGGATCCTGACCCCAAGGCCTGGCCAGCCAATCTATGCAGGGCAGTTACCCCACTGCCGGTGCTCCTTGAAGAAAGGCCGAGCTTCCGATCCCTGCCTGCAGATCTCTCCCCCCCCCCCCCCCCGCCCACCACATCCTCGCCGTTTGCTGAGGTGACCCTGGGGGAAGAGAAATCACCCATTCCCGTTAGTGCCTGGGAGCCGAGTGGCGCAACAGCCTCGCAGCTGGAAGGCACAGCAGGGCCATGATGGGAAGAGGGAGCGGAGAGGGGTGTGTGTGCGGTGTGTGTGCGTGCGCGCAGTTGACTCGCCCTGCCAGCGGCTTGGCGATGGGCCTCGGAGCGAGCCTCCCCGCAGCTGGATTTGACCTTCGAGGGGAGAGGGAGGGAGGGAGGGAGGGGGAGAGAGAGAGAGAGAGCGAGAGAGCGAGCGAGAGAGAGAGCAAAACGCCCCTTCTCTTCAGGGAGTCGGGAGGAAAAGGAAGAAGGAGAGGAAAAAGACCGAGCGTAAATTGGGCAGGTGCTCCCTCCAGAACCCGGGAAGGCTGCTCCAAGAAACCGGTTGCACGGCTCTTGGTCTGATACGAAACTTCCAGATGCTTGAAGAGTTTTTCCATCAGCCAGTTCTGCCCTCTGCTTCAGTTGGGGTTAACCAACTTAAGGGTTTGAGTGTGTAGTGCCTGCTAAATCTCCGAATGGGCCCCCAGAATCTGAACCCAATTTGCTTCCCAATTAATTCGCCAATCTGTTGGGGCCTTGTTGGAGGTGGAGGCGGGCTGGACTATAGCTGGGGAAAAGAGCCTCTGCTTTTTCTTTTTCTTTTTTTGGAGTGGTAGGTTTTGCTGTTTTGCTGTTTTTTTTTTTTACAAAGGCTGTTTCCTTTGCCACTGCGGCTGTCCTCGGTGGAAGGGCACAAGCGGCAAAAGGGCAGCTCCCAGCAATGTTTCTGGGCTGCGGGTGTCGGCGTCCGAATAAGGGAAGAGGCTTGGTTTTAAAAGAATGGCCAGCTCAAACTTCCCACCTGCCTGATAAGAAATCAGTTTGGACTCGCATAAACAGACGAGCAAAGAGACAATCGCGGTAAACGGAGGAGGAGGAAGAGGAGGAAGAGGAGGAGGAGGTGGAGGAGGAGGAAGAGGGAATCCAAACGAACAGTTTTGAACAAGGAATGAAATGAAAGAGGAAATAAAGATCCGAGGTGTAGCCAAGGCCCACACCATTTGAACAGAAGTTGGGCTCTTTCCCTATCAGTCCTATCAGTCAATCTTGCCTGAAATTCGATTCCAGATATTGGGCGACTTGGCCGGCTCTGCTCGCATTCAATATGTGCCTTTCTCCCTGCTTTCCCCAGCCTTGAAAAAGGGAGTTGATTTCGAACAGAAAAAAAAACTGGGTAGGAAAATCCACACCTCTGCCTTTATTTAATTCACTGCTTGAGCCCAAATCCCCTGAGTCATGTGGCTCTGTTCGCCTCTCTTTGTCCCTTATGAAGAGCTATTCTCTGTAAAAGAAAAAAAAATAGCTGTTGTCTGTTAAAAACATTACACTGTGGCCTTGAGTCAAATTTATTGAAGTCTGAATGCTACCTGCCTGAGCTCCCCTGGAAACCACCTGTTGTTCAAAGTGTTTCTAATAACAAGTCCCATTTTGGAATCGAGTCCAAGTCAATTCTACTCAAGAACACAACCTTGGAGAATTGGGCAACACACCTCACTGTTTCCGATGAGCTGAAAAAGCACGGAGGGCCAATTCGTGGCCTCCACATATGTGAATAGGTAACAAGGTACCGAATGGGTGGGCGGGGGGGGGGGGGGGAGTTTCATCAGTGTAAAAAATCCAGAAAGTCGCCTGCAGTGTTTTTTCTCCTTGCTGCTAAACAAATTGGGATTCACAAATGGTGTGTATGTGTGCGCCTGTTGGGTTTTGGAGAAAAAGCGTGCGGCGCGGGAGGCGATCTTTGTTAAACAAAAGTTAATGACTTCAGAGAACGAGGGAAAAAGTATGTTGAAGTCCAAACCTGAGCATTTAAAAAAAAACATTGGTGGCGGCGGTGGTGGTGGGGTTCGGCCCAGGGGAACTTTTTTGAGTAAATGGGGTGTGTGTGTGGGCGGGGGGGTGTCGGGCCCGACTCAGACCGTTAAGACGGACCTTTCGGGAATCCACCCGCTTCCCGCTAGATTCCAAGGGTCCAGAATGGGATTGCAGGTTGCGGCGGCTTTCAAGTTCGAAGGAGGGAGGCTGCTTCCAAACAGAAAAGGACCCCCGTCGGAAACACGGCTTGGAAAGGGGGCTTTTCTACGCTATTCCCCACTGAAGAACATTGAGGGGCAGCGGCTGCAGAGGGAGGCGGAGCCTGGAAGCAAACTTCAAGGGTCTCCCACGGGGTGGAGGGTGGGGGTCGCCTTGTGGAAGGTGGCCGAGAGAAACAGATGCCCGGAAGGCAACCGCCTTGCAATGCGTGGAAACCCTCCCCGCCCCACCCAAGAGAAGGGCCCGTTTCCATCTCCCCCGTCGGGGCCCAGTGGTTTCCAAAGGGGGTTCACCCCCCTCCCCCTTCCAAGGGAGGCAGAGCGCGAGCGAGTGGCGTCTCTGCGACCCTGGTCCCTTCGCGGGCCAGTTGCTGCGCTGCTGAGCAATTGGCCGAGGGTTGCTATGCTAATGAGGTGGCGGCTGGGCGGTTGGTGAAAGACGGGTGGGAGAAGGGAAAAGTTTCGACCATTAGAGGGAGATCTCCGAGCGGGCACGGGAGATCGCCTCCGCCTCCTCCTCCTCCTCCTCCTCCTCCTCCTCCTCCTCCTCCGCCTGCTCCAGCACTCCAGCGGGCGCGCTCTGCATGCCAGAGGAGAGCGCAAGGCAGGCAGGCAGGCAGGGCAAACAGCCTCGTCCTCTCTCTCTCTCTCTTTCTTCCTCCCTCTCTCTTTCTTTCTCTTTTTTTTTCTTTCTTCCTTTCCTTCTTTCTTTCTCTCCCTTCCCCCTCCCCTCTCGCCCTCTTGCCTCTCGCCACGCCAATCCATGAAAATGCTTTGGAAACTGACGGATAATATCAAGTATGAGGAATGTGAGGTAAGCGCTTTCCGGCGACTGGGGCAACTGGGAAAGAGCATCCCTTTCCTCCCGCCCCCGTCTCTCTCTTCCCCCAAATGAGAGAAAGAGAGAGAGAGAGAGAGAGAAAGAAAGAAAGAAAGAAAGAAAGAAAGAAAGAAAGAAAGAAAGAAAGAAAGAAAGAAAGAAAGAAAGAAAGAAAGAAAGAAAGA